CTCTTCTCTCTCTCTCTCTCTCTCTCTCTCTCTCTGTCTATAATGCATGTACATGTATTTCCGTACAACTACTTCGTCGTTATCGTGTTGTTGTGTTCCTCTTTTAAACTTGTTAGAAATAGCGACAATTCCCATTATAGGTGGCATGGCCAGTGCATTCCAAATTGTCAGTTTGATCCAAGAGTTAATCTACATTTACAGCATTTTAGTATACAGCATTTCAATACAGTGTATTAGTGGTATATAGTTATCATTTATACATCATTCAACCGAAACTTGAAACCGTACGTCTATAAAACATTGGGATAAGGAATCTAAAGGTGATAACTTACCTTCTTCTTGATTCGTCATCGTCCTGTGGGGAAGAAGGGATGTAACCATGAATAAATGCAATTGGTCAAATTACCTCCCGTACTGAGAGTGGTCGAATCGGACACAAAAAAGTCGAATCAACCCAAGATAAATAATACTGACAGGCTAGACTAAAAAGTATTACAGCAAAATAATTCAGACTTTCTTATAGCAGGGTATGAAAAGGGTTGTACTAACTAAAGTAAACCTAATCTTTTTTGGTGACAAATCTTTTTCCTGATTAATTATCTTTCGCTTAATAAAACGAAAAAAACAACAGTACAAACATATAGTATTTCTCCGATGTCTCTCCTATAAAATATGTAGTATGCTTTATGTGATGTGGACCAATTGCCCTAAACACTGGATAAAATACCTACCTACAGCCAAGAATAACATTTCACAGGTTATTGTTGATTTCGAGGCCCGAGTTAAATTACAAACATGTCACACTGATTCATTTCAGATAGCGTAAAAGCGTAGAGTACAAATAGCAATCTCTGCTCTATAGGACACACTCAGTGTGCCTTGCCACTTAATAGGTGCTCCAACATAACATGCGGTCAATAGATTTCTGTTTTTGCCTTGCATCTGTTTTCTACTTAGTGAAACGTTCAGAGATAAATCTACACAATCCGGTTCAGAAAGGATTCAAGCCCCGACATAACAATCATGGGCCCAGCTGCCAGCCTAGCCTCTAAATCACCGCAGCACGGACTATTGCTTCTTTCAGAACGCTAAAACACAAGTATTCATTATCATGATATCGTTTTCAGCGTGTGAGCTGTTCGCTATGTCTGTTTACACTCGGGATTCCTTTAGGTATAACTCTCGTAAATTGTTATAAAGCTCCGTGTCTTCGCGTATTTTTTACGATCGCAACTTGCCTTTTTCCTGTATGTTAGACATAATTGCAATGTCAGTGGGACTATTAGAGTGATCACGTAGGTTAAAATGTTTGAAATTGGGAGGAGGGGAGGAGTGTTATATTACACTTTTACTAGCTTCCTAAATGAGTAAATTTCACGTAAAGGATTAAACGTGCATTTTAACATTAAATAAAGGTTTATAGGTGTTTGCTTGATTTTTATTTTCATTGTAAATGTTTTATTATGACTGCATCAACATCATTAATGTGTAAGTTGAGTGTAACTTTTAAGGTTTCCTTAACCCTATCAAAAACCTCAGCCTACCTCAACTCCCCTTCTCCTACGTTTCCCGGCTGCATCATCTTTTTTGGTGGAAGGACCACTCCAGAACTTGGTCGTTTTCTTGTCCTCTTTCTTTATCTCAAACTTCTTCGGAGCCTGTCAATGAAAGGAATTTAAGAATGTGCAATACTGATATCGTGCCATTCGTTCATTTAGGAAGTCGGTACCAGCTAGCTATTTACGAAGACAATACCTATTAGAAAATAAGCATATGTAATTAAATGAACCTACACTGTTATCTTGCAAGAACTTCACATTGCCATCTGTCACGAAAATGTTCATCGGGGTAAAATATCACC